CTACTAACTAAACTAAACTAAACTATATATATATATATATATATATATATATATATATATATATATATATATATATATATATTCTTTGCTTCGGTTTAATATCCAAACTTCACGGGAAATTGTCAGTTTTGATAATATGACCATCTTGATTTAGAAATTTCTATTTTATCAAAAAATTTGGTTAAAATATTTCAAAAATCGGATATGAACTGCCATAGGAACGATATGTGAATTTGGTGATAGTTGTAGTTTAGAATTTCCAGTGACTAAGCGCAAAAATGACATTAAAAATTTCAAATATACTGTTCGTTCCCCCACAGTATGCTCAAGAGAAGTATTCAGCCTAATGACTGAAACAAATGATTCAACAAATTGAGAAACCATTTTTGAAATTACTCTTCTTTTTCTAAATTGATAAATGAATGATGAATTTTGAACTCAGGCTTAAAAGCTTGACATCAGTCGGAGAAAACTGTCATATAAAGGCCATATAAATAAGTAGTAATAAGCTCGTCCTACCTAAGTATTCATATTCGTTTCATTCTTCTCCAATAGCTCTTAGACTAACTTTGTCAAACGGTTTGATTCTTTTAAAATTCCGATTTGTTTTGATTGTTTGACGCAATGTCTTTTATCTTTTACTCTAACAACTGAAATTAAATAAGAGACCTTAATGAGGAGGGGAAAAAATAGCTTTATTCGTCACAAATATTAATATTGCAAATTGTATGATAATATTAATGCTGCCAATTAATCAAAATATTAATATGAATTAAAATTTTTTTATCTGCATTTCAGAGCTACAAGTTGTACTTTAAATATTTGTTGAAAATTGAAATTGTATCAGATAGAGTATCACGAGGAAAATTGAAAACTCTCATCTAAAGGGAAGAGTAATGGCACATTTGGTTGCTGTCCATTTTTATTTAAATATTAATTCCATTTTGCTATTGATAGTGCAACATTTTTGTGTAAAATTATTTGAATTCCCATTCAGAATTGATCTAGAAGAATAATATGAAACAAAATTCCG